TGTGTGTGTTGGTGTGTGTAGTTCTGCGGCTGTCTGGTTGCTTTCATCCATCCCGTCCCTGATAATCAGCGTTTCTGTTCTTTGCTTCATCTTTTGTTTTCTTGCATCACTTTCTGGGTGTTGATCGGGCGCCTGCTTCATTCAGGCTCTTTATATGTGAAAAAACAAAACAAAATCAATATTGGCTATCACATAAACTAAAATGACATTAAAAAGTAAAGATGAGAGTTTAAATATTTTTAAGAGAATCATTTGTATTGTTTTCAGAGTTACGGACCCGAACCCTCGTGTTCAGTAACGAACCGGGACACAAGTTTAAATGTTTGTTTGTCCCGGAGATGGATCAATAACGTTCATCGGCTCATTTTTGATTTTAAATCAAAGAACATTGATTGGCCCGTTGGTTTCGGCCACGTCGCCACCGGATGCTCTGACGTCATCAGCCAGCGCCGCGTTGTTGACAGTTGAGCAGCAGAATGAGAAGAAAGAGCGACGAGTTGAAGCAGCGGAGCGGCTGCTGACGGTTCATGCTCGGTGCGTAGACACGCATTTTACCGGAACACAAAATCCGTTTCACCGCCGGGACGCTGCTCCGAGTTGACCATCCCCGGGCTAACCGGCTAACCGGCTAGCGGCTAACCGGCTAACCGGCTGCTAACCCAAACAGGGTCCTCAGGCTAAGCTAACTGCTAGCATCACAAACACTGACCGTCTGCTCCTTCTGTCATTACGTTAAATATAAAACTTCTGTTGCTACTAAAGAACATCAATAAGTTCATCTGAAGCCTAAAGCTGACACTTCAGTGTGTTTGTGTCTCGTTAGCAGCAGCTGTTCATCATTATATACATATAATATACATATATATAGATATAATATCTAATATATAGCCGTGACTGAATGCAGATGATCAGTATCTGTTTCCTTTGATGTGATTGATTATATTCGATCAGGGCACCAGACTCCATTCTAAGATATGCTGATTTTACTGCCGCTTCACTTGATGACTGCTGATGTATTTTCTTTCATGTACTTTCTGGCCACAGATGAAAGCATTTACTGATTTATTTTGAACAGAAAACATTCAGATCACATACAATGGAAGAAACAAGGCTTACAGTTGATTACGTTTAAAAGTTGTTCAGAGATCACCCCTTAAACAGGACAGAGTGAGACGTGTCACCAGGGTCCATTCAGATCCTGCTCACTTCTACGCACACGACACATATCTGTGGTTTAGCTTCAGGAGAAAGCTGCAGGATGCTGACATGCTACAAGTTGACTGGCTCCAGCCTCACACACGAGAAGAATAGTTGAATTTGTTTGTTGAACATTATTTTAAACCAAATCATTTTGGGGTTTAAGCTGCTGATCAAAGTGGCTCTAATGACATCACGCGTGTTTTTCTTAGTTTTCAATTTTTCTTGGACAAGACAGTTGAATATCATGAAAATAATCTCAGTTACAGCTGCAACTTACATCCATCAGATGTTGTTTTCAGCTGATGAAGATGTATTTACAGGAGCTCCTGGTTTGACCTGAACGCCTGCCGTTAAACGTGACAGTTTTTGTGCTGACTCTGGTTGCAGCTCTTGCAGCTCCACACAGAATGAGCCGCGATGAAGAGACCAAAGCTGGCCGGAGTGTTCCTCTTCGTGGGCTGCCTGCTCGGCTACCTGATGTTTGTGAAGAACCACTACTCTGCCTCCAAGCCCTACAGGTTACCTCCCCACCATCGGACAGGAGATGGTAGGACCGCCGCCGCCGCTGGGCGGAGCTTCCAGTACGGCATCATGTTCGACGCTGGCAGCACCGGGACCAGAGTCCACATCTTCAAGTTCCAGATGGAGAGCCGAGGTATGGACAGGAAACACAGGATTTAATGCTTCTCTTTGTCTTGTCTGACACTAAACTGGACTTTTTGATGCTTCTGGTATTTTCTGACACGATACAGACAAAGACGAGCTGAGCAAATGGAAGGAGGGCCGTCAGCGTTCCTAACATCCTGCCAGAATTAATAACACGGATGCATTCATCCAGAGAGTTTCTGTGTCAAATGTTTGCTGTTTCAGATGCACCGACCTGAAACAAACAGAATCTCTTCAGATTTGGACCTCAATCAGACAAAAGCCACTTGAAGACAGAGAATAGTAGTTGGGTGCAGCCGTTCATACCATCTTAAAATCAATCAGTTTAACGATAGTGTCCACGTGTGGTCGATGCACGCCGTGACGATCCGGTACAGCCAGCCGGGCTCACATGTCTGCTCAGTGAGTTATTTCATCCTCATGAAGGTGAACGTTGACGACGTGCTTTCTGACCGCGATCAGGACACCAAACTCCACTCAGATATCCTCTGAGTTAAATGCTCTGCTGTGGGATTTAAACATACATTTCAACAGACAACAGAAAACAGCATTAGTGTGGCTTTAGCTGATTGTTGACATAATTCATTAACTTCCTGTTCACACTGTGACTCTACAGAACCAAAGGTGGTGTCTTCAGTATTTAGTTTATAATGAAATTGTCTCCATGTCTCATTTTAGAAGCTTTATTCTTCGAATATTTGGTAGAAATTCACCTTTGTTTCAGGAGTTTTAAATTCCTCTGGCAGGATGCAAATCTTCAGCTGCTTTTTGATAAATTCAAAATAATTCAAGCGAATGTTTAAGTGTCACTGTTGCTGTGATTCTACACCAAACTCCGTTCAGATATCTGCAGATTGAACACCAGACATGTGAACATATTGTGTGTCTCTACGTGTTCTTCTCATGCTCTGATATGAACGTGTGAATCAGAAATGAGACGGGATGTTTGGACGTTAAACCACTAAATGGCTTCGTATGGATCCTCTCAGATGAAACTGTAGCGGTTTATAAAGCGGACTCCTGAACTGCTTTTAGTGTATTTAAAATCCACACATGTTGGCCCCGAGCAGTAATTACCAGCAGACAGGACGAGCTTTCAGCCGCTAAGTCCTGCTCTGCTGCCAGTCAAAATGGACACAAACTCATTAGTGTGTTTCAGAGCTTTTTGGTTTATTAGGCTTAGAGAAAGTTTCCTGTCGAGCTCGGCCAAATGCCTTCATTATCGCATTTGAGCGCTAAGCTAAATCACACAGGCTAAGTGCTGTTTTGGCTCCTTTGTTAGCATCAGAGCTAACCGGCCTAATGGCAGCACCTGTTAGTTATGCAGGAGCTTAATGACAGCTCGCTCAGGGAACCGGTTCAGCCAGAATTACTCTTTAATTAAATGTGCAGCAGCAGGACTCTGACTCACTCTGAGCTCTTGATCGAATTCCTACCTGAGGAGGGAGGTGGTGGTTGACAGGTGTGTGTTTGTGTCCTGCAGAAACTCCTAGACTGGACCATGAGACGTTCAGAGCCATCAAACCTGGACTGTCTGCCTACGCTGATGAGCCGCAGAAGGTACGACTGCGGCTGCATTCGCTACTTTACGCAGGTGTTGCACAGGGAGGTTACACAGGTGTTACACAGGTGTTACACAGGTGTTACACAGGTGTTACGCAGGTGTTGCACAGGGAGGTTACACAGGGAGGTTACACAGGTGCTACGCAGGTGTTGCACAGGGAGGTTATACAGGTGTTATACAGGTGTTATACAGATGTTACACAGATGTTACACAGATGTTACACAGGTGTTGTACAGGTATTACACAGATGTTACACAGATGTTACACAGGTGTTACACAGGGAGGTTATACAGATGTTACACAGGAGAAATGATGTGCTGTTTACCAAAACAGCACATGAAATAAACAACAACAACAACAAGACCTAAAACAAGCATTAAGAGACAACAACCCCTGGGCGCCGCTATAGCTCACCTGGTTGAGCTGGCGTCCCAGGTGCAGGGCTACAGTCCCAATGTGGAGGTCATGAGTTTAATTCTTCCGGTTGATTTGGTGAAAAAAGAAGAGCTTCCTGTTGATGAAGAAATGTTCATGTAAACATCTGTTGAGTAGCTCACCAACACAACCTGGATGTTCTCATGTTCTAGTGTGTGTTGTGAACTGTGTGTCTCTGTGGTCAGTGTGCTGACGGCATCCTGGAGCTCCTGCAGGTGGCCAAGTCCAACGTCCCACCTTCATCCTGGAACTCCACCCCGCTGGTCCTGAAGGCCACGGCCGGCCTCCGCCTGCTGCCTGGAGAGAAGGCTCAGCACCTGCTGGACACGGTGAGACCCACACTGGTCTGTCTGTCTGTCTGTCTGTCTGTCTGTCTGT